ATGTATGTATGTATGTATGTATGTATGTATGTATGTATGTATGTATGTATGTATGTATGTATGTATGTATGTATGTATGTATGTATGTATTTATTTATAGTCCGTGTTGTTTATAGCTAAGTGCTTGCGTAACCATGGGTGGTCAGTTTGTTCGAAACCTCCCGGTTATCTGCTTAGCTTCGTCTCCTTCACCTCTCTCCATGAAGTGTTTACAAGTTCTGCCTTTTTCAAAAAGGCAGTTTTGTCACTGCTTTCACCATATCGTCATATCGCGCCAAGCACACATATGCCTAAACAAAAGCAGCTCTCTTCAAGAGGAAATTTGCTGTCAGTCAATCCAAGAGTTAATCCACGGGCATAATTCTGCTGACGTCAACATCGTAAGTGTGCTGTACTCGCTTCTACCCACTTAGAACCACCGGAGAGGAGGTTCTGAGACAGCACGGCTGTGGAGAGCGCTTGGAGAAGCATTGGGCCGAGACCCAGTCGAGTCGAACCGTGTACAAGAGCATCTGTGGAGATTGTGTGTAGAGGCTGTCATTGTTAAAAGTGAACACCAGAGCATGCAATTTAACAGCTTTCTTTGAGGCACCAAAATAAGGCACCAAAATTAGAATTGTGTTTTGGTCTATGTACTACTGTGGATGTTCACCCCGGTGCCATACTGGAACCAAGTTTCGGTACCCAGCCCCTTGGGGTGTGCCCTTGCCTGGATCTGCTCTGCTGTGGCRGGTGCCAGCGAGGCCCATGAGTTTTTTTGCTGCTGGCCCCGGGGGTTTACTGCGTGTGGTCACTGGGCGGACTATCCCGGTTCTCCCCTATGGTCTGATCTGGGGTGGGCAGATCTTCCCGTGTGGGTGCCTCTGGGGGCTCTGTGCTAGGAATCCCTCTCGGGAGTGTCTCAGTGTGTATATATCTTCAGTATGAATGAATGTATGCATGTACAGTATATATATATGCATGTATATCTACTGTATATGTACTGTATGTATGGGTATGTGTTTGCATGCCATCCATTTATTTTTAGGTGAGCAGACAAACATTGGGTGAGTGGACCTGTGTTTTCTTGGTGTATATTATAAGATTGAGCTTAAGGTGAATTAAGCTTTTCTCACATCTCTCATACACAAGGTTATGAGGAAACTTTTACCAAGGTATTTC